TCAAAATGTGAAAAAAGTTTGATGAAGAAACAAAATAGTGCCCCATACTTTAGGTTCACAATTGAAATAAATTATAAAACATGAGTTCATCGGATATCAAACAAATCAATTACTCTTTTAATTATACAAACATTATAGCCCTATGACAAGGGTTAAGACTAATGGAAAATTTGAGGTATAGGTTGATTCTAGAAAGGTAACATTTTTAGGTTGAATTCTTTGGTATAGTATTTCTGATACTTCGATGCCCAATGACTCGAGGAAATGGTTGTTATTTTTATCTTCTAGAAATATTCACTGGTTTCAAGCTCTTAAAAGTACATTTGAATTTACGATGCTTCATCAAGAGATTTGTAAGATAAACTTTTATACAAGAATTGTACAATTTCATATTCGAGCTGCCTTTTCAAGTTTTCAACTTGAATCCTCCTTTGGTTTCAAGACATTATACGAAATTTATTTATTTTGAATCCCTATTTTATTTTTTCTCATCATGCATTAAAGATTTTGGATTTTTTTTGAAAATAAAAAGATTAACACTGAGAGGCGGGGTGAAATATGAGGATAATCTCTCCTATTTTAGAAATTGATGTATGATTAGAAAGAACTTTTAAGGCGCGTAACATAGGTTATGGCCCACAGTTATGAAAGAAAGGGATAAATAGGCCCAAATAAGTGTTTACGGGTGATCCCTCTAGACTGTCCATTTATGGGTTTTCACCCTAGAGTTCTTCTTGTTTTTTCCTATACCTTTGGCATTTATGATTTCCTTGTAAATTGCATCTAGATCTCTGAACCAGTTGTACTTGATCAACCTTGTTATTTGGGAGTCTGATGAGCCTTTTTATATGAGAGACTCTTTATATTATATGCGCTACTTGTCCTCTTTATTTGATGAATTTAGGATATTAATTGATTTGCAGACATTCTTATTCTCTTTATTTGAAGAATTTCTAGCACTTCTATATGAGCATAATTTATTTTTTGCATTTGGAACATCGTTGTTGTTCTCCACTGAATTTAATCTTCAAACACATTGTTTTTGGTCCATATTGCAGCACCTTGTTATTATTACCTTATTCATAAGGAATTGTCCTTGTAATAGAATTAGAGTTGATGATCTTCACTCAGGTGAACATATTTTCCTTCGCCTTGCCCCCATTATGGAAGGTGTTCCTTAGTTAGGGTTGAATCTAAATAAAATTATTTTAAGCTAAAATGGGGAAAACAATGGATTTGTTTCTCCTTTTGTGAATGGATGTTGAAAGAAAGTCGTTCATCATCTCATACACAAAAGTATTTGCAAAAGAGGTATCCCAAGGGGGATGAATATTCAGAATCAACTTTTATTCACATAAATATAATGTAATTAATGCATGATATAATTATTTCAATTATTCTTCCTTTATTTCTTCTTCTTCTTCTTCTTCTTCTTCTTCTTCTTCTTCTTCTTCTTCTTCTTCTTCTTCTTCTTCTTCTTCTTCCTCCTAGTATGCTCTGATTATTTAGGCTTAACTTTATAAAGTTGATCTCAGCTGCCCCATCTCATTTCTCTTGTAGGAATGATTTACACACAAATGAACATCTTGCACTCAATATCTTTAGGTTTTATTGTGGTTGAAAAATATTGGTTTTGCATATGAGAAAACAGTGGTGTGACTTTGAAGTCAAATCTTCAAGGGAAAGGTAATGTTATGACAAGATTGACCTTATCTGAGAGAAGGTAGTGTCAAGAATGGGTTTTTTTTAGTGTTAATCATGAATTATTTTGGGTAAAAAAATATAGTAATTGTATCTTTGGGCTTCAGACGAAAAACCTTTAATTCATTTGATATTTAAAGACCTACAAGATTAGAACTTGTCTCATTCTCATAGCCTTAGAAGGTAGCATAAGTTCAATCATCAAACGACTTACAAAATATTTAAGCAAATAATAAATAAGAAAAACAAGTTCAAACAAAACAATGCAAGTGCAACAAAGCTTAATGGTGGACACAATAACCTTCTCTCGATTCGCATCAGGATGCCCCATTACTTATCAATGGTCCATGCACTGAAATCAATTAAATTATGGAACTTTTGCTTTAGTGCACCATAGTTCTCAATAGTATGCCCGAGCTTCCTATGTGGCGTTAACATCATATCCATGGCTCTCAATCCTTCTCAAGGTACGAACGGGGTGGCTTTAATTTGCTTTTAAGATTTCTGTCACGGGATCCTCCATAAATTACTCCCATAATCCAGGATTAATGCACGTGGAAATGCTTAAATAATATCATACAATAAATAATGTAGAGATGTGAATGCACAGATGCAAAGATATGAATGTAAATGCAAAGATACAAAGTACCAATGCAAATGCAAAATGCCAATGCAACAAAGGTATTGATTCCAAAGTAATTGTCATAAAACAACTTTCAAAGAACACACAATGTCTCAATACAATGAGGCAGACGAAAAGTACAAATTGCTTGACTTCTTATCTTCTTCGATCAAATGAACTAGATGACACTCTTTTTTTATCTCTAGCTTGATCCATGATTTCAATGTTTCAGCTTCTTTTCCCGAGGAATTCACTTATTGAGAAACCATATGTGACTAGCATCATTCACTATCTGGTACTGGCTTCAAATCGATTCCCAGCTTGTAGGAGTTGCTTTGTTATTCAAAGCACAACATATTGGCTTTAAATATCTTATTTTCCATCATTTCATTTTGGCTAGTTGTATCAACATCATTGTAGCATCTTTGGAAAGTTTGTTCTATTGTACCATTTGAGCTTCATATCTTTAATTTGACTCTAGCTCTGACCATATTCTGACTTGATGTACCCTTTTTAACTACCTTATAGAGTGTCTTTATTGACCATTGTCGCCTATTTGTTATTCTATCTACCTCTTTGAGTGACATTTTCATATTGAAAGCCTTCTAATGCGACTATTAACTCGAGAATCAATATATTCTATGATATGCCATGTATGAAACGTGTGTTAATTCCAAGGTAATTATCCTAGAACAAATTTTAAAGAACACACAACATCTCAATACGTTAGGGCATATATAAAATAATTATATTTACACATTCCTATGATGTTGCCGAATTAAAAGCCTTCTAATTTTGATAATTAACTCAGGAATTAACGTCATGTTCATGTACAAATAAAACAAGGCAAATAGACAAAGCAAAAGGAGAGAAGAATAGTAAAACTAAAGTAATAATCAAACAAAAGAAATGTGTTAAAAAATAATCAAATACAAATCATGAATGAAATAATAAATAGACAATATGACTAAAAGACACAAAGGAAATTAAAGCCCTAACCATATGTATTCTAGTTCTTTTAGGGTTTCCACATAACTCTAGTGGGATGAGCTTACTAAATCATCTACCAAATGTTTGGTTCTAAAAAGGTTCGTAAACTGTCCCTACAACCTGCTAAGGTATATAGAGACTTGAATCCTGGCTCACTATAAACTTGAGGATCAAATTTAGTCATGGGGATCGCATTACTAATGCCTATTAAGGAAAATAGTATCCTGACAGACATGAAGAATGCTTTCAGAAGTACTTGCGAAGCCTACACGAAGAAAAATTGTATTCTTCGATGATGTGGTGTTTCTCTTACTTAAGTGAATCGGGACAAAGCTCGGGTATAGAGCTATGATATGCAATAGTTATAAAATATGTTCAAACAAGGAAAACTATGACCAGAGAGAAAAATATTTTTTATTATTTTTTAAAAGAACATAATGGACATAAATTAAATAAATACGAACTCAAATTTAGAACAAAGGGTAATCGACTCGTGGCTCGACTCTCTATGCATTTTAGAAAACAAAAAGTCCCCAGCGGAGTTGCCAAGTTGTCACTAACAAATTTTAGAGGAATCGATCCAAAGTTTGGGTTTTGAAAAGAAGGATTTGATGAAAAGATGAAAGTCACCACCAATTATTTTTAAGATGAGATTGGAACACCTAAAATCGAGTAGTTTAATAAAACATTTTTATTTTACTAAAATACCAAGTTTTGGTCAACGAGATCAAAAATCGGGTTAAGGAGTCAGTTACGTGTGTGAAAGGATTAGTGGCACCACAACACCTAAAAATTGGTACCTAGTCAATAACATTATATTTTAAAATTATAAAATTTTAATTCAAAATTTTATTTAATTTAAAACCCACTATGCATTCAAATTTAAAAAAATTATGTTGATTTACCAAGACTAATAACGACTACCCCGAGCACAAGCAGAAGTTTCGTTATCAATAGCAATAAATTAACATTGCCTTAATAATTTTAAAAAATATGATGTAAGATTTAGAAAAGAATGTCGATTTACTTAGAAAATCCCTAGTGGTGACCCCCGGAGATAATGCAAAGTACACTATTAATCCCCTAATAAATATATATTTCCTTATTTTGAAATTAGAATATGCAATCAAATAGTCAATTATGGAACCTAATTACAGAGGTGGATTGATTAAAGATCCCCTCTAGCTAATGTGTCAAATTAAAATTTTTAAGGGAACTTAAGGATTAAATCTAAAAATGTAGGATGTAATTAGTAATACTAACCAATTTTAACAATTTATGGAATCGAATAATTAAAATGGAAAATCGGGTATAAATACGATGATCAAATTAAAAATTCTCCTAGTTTAAGGACGAAACTAAAGTTAAACAAAAAATGAAGGCTTTAATTATTAATCTTAACCAATTTTAACCAACTAATAGATATAATAATTAGGGTGTTCAAAAATACCCGACTTGGATGACCCGACCTGTCGACCCGGCTAAAAAACACTGGGTATTTAAAACGAAAATACCCGATTTTTCAAGTCAATTACCCGACTTACTACTTTTATCGGGTTTTCGGGTTAGGCCCGGATCACAATATGTCACTTAACTGGATATCCACCAACACGATACCTTTTTTAATTTAATTTTTATATATTTTATATTTTTATTAAAACACTCGTCACTCTGTCTCAACTTTTTGTTTACTATTTTCTAACCCCCAAATTAGAAACTTTCAATCCCTAACCCCACGACCCTCTCAAGTCACGAGTCACCACTCACGAACGGCCTCGTTGGACCTCAGGCGACCGGTTAGGCGAGCATTCTTCACTGGTTCGATGCTTCCATCTCATAGTCATCGTCCCTCACCATCACTCGCCAAGCAGTTATTAGCGAGAGGCCCAAACCGGTATAACCCATTTTTCTTTTTTAATTTTTGTAAATACTGCATCCTGCTCAAGAAATAATTGGCTATTCCAATTTGTAATGCTTTCTTTAGCCGAGAAACATCAATACTATCCGGGTTATAGGATTAATATGCTATTCTTTTAGGATGCCTCCTATCATCTACTGAGATACCTAAATATATATTTATATTTCTATCGTTGTTAATAAGAAATAATTGATATATTCATTCAAATCTAATTGGTTTTTCCTAATTGCTAAATAATTTTAGCGAGTTTGTATTTAAACATCGAAAATCCTGTTTGGTTCCACATGTTTTCCGGGTCAATTTTCATTTGGCAGTCCTATGATAGAAGCAAGCAACAAATTTGGATATGAAAAAAAGAACTAGTGAAATGACAACACTCGAACGCTATATTTGGATATGAAGTTATAACTCAGTATAGAAAAAATAAAATAAGAATACCAAATTATGTTTAGCTGATTGTTGAATATGAAAAATTAACTTAGCATTTTTCAACTAGTTTCACTCACATTTCATTTATTTCTTAAAAATAAAAAATAAAACACTAACTTAATTTATGCAAATAAAGTGAGTAGTATCATGTTTTACTATTGAGCTAGATTTCATATCTCCGTTTCATTTTTTTCAACTATTGAGTATTATGGTTCGATAAATATCCTATTTTACTATGACCATTTATTTATTTCACTTTTTACTATTGAGTAATATCATGTTTGTGTTTGTATGCTAATATAACAATTTTTTTTATATTATGTCGATAATAAGGGAAAATCATGATTTAAGGAAGATATCTTCCTCAGTTGGGATCTAAGGAACCTGAAACTGTGATGGAGATTCCAACAAATACAAAAAACAAAAGGAAAGGGAAAAATACTGCTGAAGCTACAAGTGAAAAATGTAAAAAGCAAAAAACCTTTACTGTATGAGATCATTTTAAAGTATGCGAGGGTGACAAATTTCATGCCAAATTCATTTATTATTCTCAAAAGATATCTTGTGCATCTAATAATGGAACTAATTCCATGAAACGCCACACTGATTGGTACAAGAAAGCCCCTTTTAATGCCGATACAAAACAAACAATCTTAGATTTTGAGACTAAGACAAAGTGCAATGCTGATGGGACTATTGAAACTGTTAGTGTTCCTAGATTATGACATTTTGATCAAGATGAGATTAGAAAAAAACTTGTTAAAATGGTGATTGTTGATGAGTTGCCATTTAGTTTTGTTGAACGTAAGGCTCGTGCTACAATTACTAGAGATTGTTATCCTTTGTTTATAGAAAAAACGAAGAAGTTGAAAAATCATTTCAAGAATTTGTCTTCTAGGGTATGTCTTACAACAGAGACATGGATATCTAGTCAAAATTTTCATATACGTGTCTTACTGCCCATTTCATAGATGATGAATGAAAATTGCATAAAACAATCATAAACTTTTGTCTAATTGCTGGTCATTTTGGGGAGCTTATTGGTAGAGCTATTGAAAAGTGTTTACTAGAATGTGGTCTTAAAAGAATCATGACTATAACAGTTGATAATGCTAGTTCTAATGATCTAGCGATAAAGTATTTGAAGCAAAGTCTTAACTTGTGGGATGGTAGTGTGTTGAATTTTTGCATATGAGATGTACTGCACATATTTTGAATTTGGTTGTGAAAGATGAGCTGAAAGATGTTGATGCTTCTATTGTGAGAGTCTATGTTGTTGTGAAATATGTGAGGTCTTCCCCTGCAAGGCTTCATAAGTTTAAAGCTTGTGTTGAAGAGGGGAATATAAGTTTTAAGTCTCATGTTTGTTTGGACATTGAAACAAGATGGAATTCGACATATCCCATGCTTAAAAGTGCCTTGGTGTTTAGGAAGCCTTTCAAAAATATGAAAACTAAGTACCTTCCTTACACAAAGGAGCTTAGGAAGGTCAGTGGTGCTCCTGATGATGAAGACTGGGATAAAGTTATATATTTCTTGCATTTTCTTGAAATATTTTATGAGACTACATTGAGCTTCTCTGGATCAAGGTAAGTGACTGGTAATACCTTTATGGAAGAAATATATGATATTGGATAAACAATTAACCGTTATGTTGATGACTTTAATATTGGGCTTAAGATTATGGCACACTAAATGAAATTGAAATTTGATAAATATTGGGTGAATGTTAATAATGTGAATGTGTTGATGTTCATTGCTTTAGTTCTTAATTCTAGGCATAAGTTGAGATATGTTGAGTGGATCGTTTGTCGTTCTTCTGATCTTAGTGACTAGTATGTCTTGTGTCAATGGATTAAAGATACTTTGACATTGTTGTTTGATTATTATGATTATTATGCTTCTTCACATCCTTCTTCAACTCAAATGAGATCATGCTCCTTGGGTCTTAATTCTAGTGGTCATGGTGGTGAGGGAGAAATAAAGAAGTTGAAATGAACAAATTTGAGAACAAATTGTGACAGAGGTAGAACTAAATGACACTTCTGAAACAACAACCGAGCTAGAGAGGTATTTGGGGGATAAATGTGTTCATGACAATGATAATTTTGATATCTTAGCTTGGTGGTATGTGCAAACAAATAGCTATCATATTCTTATGAGTATGGCACGTGATATACTTGTGATTTCGGTTTATACCATTGCTTTGGAGTCCGCTTTTACCACGAGAGGATGTGTTCTTGATTCCTTCCACAACTCTTTGACTCCTAGGTTGGTGGAAACTCTTATTTGTACTCAAGATTGGATCTGTGCTCCTCATGAACTCATCCTTATAGAATATGAAAGAAAGTTAGTTTTCGATTCCAAATTTATTAATTTTATTTTACAATATTTATATACATAGTTTAGATATTTAAATAATTATATTTCTAATCATATAATATTTTTATTGACATATATTTGTAATATATTTATGTAGAAATGAAATATTTGACTTCGGAGCAACACACAATTATCATTGATGAGACGAACGAAGTTTCGGAGCAATGAAATATATCTCTTTAGTTGCATTTTCTTTAGACTTTTAACATTTAAGTTTTATATTTAGATTATGAAATTTTAATTTTTGAACTTTATGTTTGAATTATGTAATTTGGGGTTTTAAGTGTCTAAGATGTTCAAATTTTAATTTTTCAAAAAAATTAGTGCAATTTTTTTTAGTGCAGAATGGTTTACTATTTAGTGCAAAATTTGAAAAAAATGAACTAAGGTGCCTTATTACCTGAACCAGCGGGTACCCTGATTATGCATGTACTCGACTTGTAGGTACCCTAATATTAAAGGTCGAGGCATGGGTTGTTTTTTAGTACCCGAACAGTATGGGCGCCCGATACATCGGGTACTAAAAAATGTGGGAACCTGGTTTTGAACACCCTTACAAATAATCAATTTAGAACCTTGGGCATAAATGTGAGGACCAAATCTAAAATTCACCTAAATTATAAAAGTTCAAGGATTAAATTAAAGGAATCTATATTTAAGGGTTTAATCTAAAGTCAAGGTATTCTATGACTAAATTGAAAGAAAGTAAAACTAATCCTCATAAATTTAAGGCAATTAAAAGGACTAATTGAAACAAATTAAGATAAATAATTGAAATTAAAAATATAAATTAACGACTAAAATGAAAGAAAGTATAATATAAAGTTCATAAATTAAAGTCAAGGTATTCTAGGATTGAAATATAAATGCTAAAAATTAAATGACAAAATTAAAACACTAAAAAACTAAAATACAAAAATTTAAAGGGTAGAAATGTAAATTGTCTAAATGTAACAATCGAATAAAATTAAAGGTTAGTAGTTGATTTTTTTTAATTTTAACTCGGATCGTAATAATGCTAGTCCTATCCTGGGACGGACCGTTTAAGCTTGTAAAATTAATTTAGTGTAAAAATTAAAAAGTCAGTAGGTTATAAATTAGTAATTAGCTGTTAGAATTAAATTTTACTCGGACCACAATAATGTGGGTTATATCTTGGGATGGGTCACTGCAAGGTTGATTCGAATGTTTATTACAATAATTTAATAAAATAGTGATAATAACAGGAAAAATCACAAAATTGGGGCAAAATTTTGAAACAATAAAAAAAAGGGATTAGTGACTAGAATATTAAAAGTACGCCTAAAGTCGATGAATTAAGAAGTAATTAACCTTAAAAAATTTGTACTTAACCTAATTTTCAACCTTTAGTCATTTTAAAAATAAACCTAGATAACTAATCTCCCTTTTATCTAAGTGTTCCAAACTTTCTTCTCCCCCACGAGACTGTCACTATTCCCAAATACCAAATGACGACGCTCGACCACCGTCCATCAGTGGTCATTCCATTCTGATCATCAACATAGATGAGCAAAGAAACCTAAACGAGATCCCCACAAGCCCAGAGCTATCCATTTCACCTTTTCAAACTCCACCATCACTCGATCCAAGCTCTTACGAGCCCCTACCACCACTCACTTATCGTAGATCGGTGTTGTTTCATTCCCTTCGATTGTCATCAGCAGTGTTCAACAACCAAAACGCCACCAATATTAACCTAAAGTCTTCTTTTTCTCTTCTAGTCCTCAAAACCAGAACCTAAAAAAACTCAAATGCCAATAAATGACCCTAAAACATTAAGACTTCTCATCTCCCCGACTCCGGTGACCTCTAGCGACTACTTTGCTCATCTTTTATCTCGACAAAGCCTCACTCGATGTGAGAAACACTCGAAGAGATGACATATGCACCACATGCCCAAAGGATGGGCTCACCTTGCCACTAGACCCAATCACAAGAGGATGGGCCAAACTACTCAAATATCAACTCCAGATTGCAGTCCAAGCCTTTGTCAGCAAAGGCATACACGCCCACATAGATTTTAAAGAATTCAAAGAAGAAAAATCACTCATCATTCCTCCCATATCAACTTGGATCACAACAATCCAAGTTACTTCTGGGCCCAACTGCGAGACCCAAGAAGATATGCTCAAAAATCAGTTTGAACTACCTTGTGCCTAATAATTTGTAAAGTTACACAATGTTAAATTTAAAAAGCATGTGATAACTCATTCTCTTAGGAATTTGTTATTCTTTGCTTTATTTTGTTAGGATAAGGGTAAACAGGTCATTGAATGTAACACTTGATAGCTTATCATCCTCCACCCTTGCTTAACACGCCAACTATATATCACAAGACAATGATAACTTATCGAACCCCTTCCCCTTGCTTATCATAAGCGTAGGCGCCTATCAAGACCCATTTTCCCACCATGTCGCCTACCCATCTTGTAAAAGAAAGATCTGAATTGTTCATCAAGCTTCAATAGTCCTCTCATGCTTTCTTTCATCTGCACCATCGGATCAATGCTTTATCAAGGGCCCTCATTCAAGCCGCCTATGTCACAAAGAATTAATATAGTTTTTTTGATTATTTTATTGTTATTTTATTCTTCATTCATGTTACAACAAGGACTCCTCAAACACTATATAAAGGAGGCCCTCCCCACCATATTAATCATCAAGTTTTCTTCTTCATTCAATACAACAAGAGTTCATTTTTTGCAAGAGTTGATTGCCTTGTGCCTTCAAAACTTCTTTTTCTTTTAGTTCTTCCAAGTTTTTGAGAGAGATCTTCACACTCCATTTACCTTTTCATTGCGATTAGAAGGGCTGGTTAGAGTTGTATTGTCGAGTTTGCCTTTTCATTGTGATTAGGAGGGTTATATAGGACATTTATCCATCTATTTTCCATCTTGCATCATTAACATCTTCTTCCTCCATCATCACGCCACCTTCATCAACAAACCCTAGGGTTTGCGTCAACACTATATATACCGAGGGTAAATTTTCAAATCAATTTTCCCATCAATTCATCCATCCAATTTCAGTTTCATCTTCACCATTACGTTCCTTAAATTCTTATATTTCCTACCATCAAAATCCATCAACCTTAGCCTTAGCCACCTACCTTTAAATGAAAGATAAGTTTGATTCTTTATTACATGTTTTATCTTTACTTCAATTCTATTACCCTTATTTTCACATCGTCTTGGTTTCTTTTATCTTCTTACCCTTGTTTTCATTGTCTTAATCTTATTTCTTTACCTTAATTTCATCATAAAAACCCTAAAAAATATCCCTTTTCATCGCCCATCACACCTATTCATAACTCCTTTTTTCATCGAGTCTATAGCTTTTTATGTTTGTTTCCTCGACAAAAGCAACGTTAATTCATCTGATGTTACTTCTCTATCAATTGGTATAAGATTTGAGATGATTCTTGGGAAGAATCAAACCAATTAGACTTATTCTTTAAGCATCACCCGTCGAAGTACCCCAACGGAGCTAGTTTGCAAAGATTCATCATTTCAATTTTTTTCAATTTAGTTTCAATTCATTTTTGTTAGTTTGTTGATTTCTATCACACAAAAAAATTAAAAATAAAAAAATACAAACATAGGAATTTGGAGGTGACTTTTTACAAGAACATACTTCATCCAAAGATGATTCTAAAGTCCAAAATTTAGCCCAATCGGAGTTCATTCGACCTTTCAATTATATCATTCAAGTTCTTCTCATTGAAGGATTTTTCTAGAATTTTCAGAAAGAATTTTGTACTAAAAATTTCCAGATTACAACAACGCTAATTAAAGAACATTCACAAAAAAAAAAAAACAAAATTGTTGGAGATCCCCTTAAAAAATGTTGTTCAATTTGATCAAGTGTTTTAGGTTTTTTCAGGTTTAGGTTTTCCACTTTTCTTTGATTCTTATTGCTTTAGGTTCCTTTGTTTAACCTTTTCTTGTCTCTCTACACCATCTAACACATTCTCTTCCTTGTGTTAGTAGGATTAAAGAGTTTTCATATTTATTCTTCCTTGCATTCTTGTTCACTTGTGGTCGTACCTTTCCTTGGTATCTTAGAACTTCTAAGTTTTTTTCCTATTTTGTTAGTGATCAAACTCCGATACGAACATAGAAATACTTCTGGGAGAAGATAGTTTTAAAAGTACAAGATCGACTTTCTTGCCTCTCGTTGTGTTGCTTTTCTTGGAGTGACTTGTGAGGTTTCTTGTTTCTTTTCTTTTCCACTTTAAAATTTTCTTTTAAGTGTTGCAATTTCAGGATGACTAAAGAAGAATCATTCACCATGGCTCTAGAAATCCTAGTAATTGTCGTGAATAATCAATCCACACTACTAGTCGAAATCCAACAATGAATCAAAGAAATCAACGTCTCCATCCAACAACAACATGTACAACCTAATGCTAATAATCAACTGAGACAATCAGAAGAAAATCTACTGACCAATCCCATGCAACATAGACTTCAAATGACGGAACTCTTTGCAAAACCAAAGTTCACAATACCACCATTCAAGGGAGACTATGACCCAGACTTTTACATTGACTGGAAAGCAAAGTTGATCTTATTTTCTCCTACCACGAGAATAAGTTCCACTAATCACTATGGAATTACAAGGCTATGATCTCACATGGTGGATGCAAACACTAAAGGCAATTCAAGAGTACATGATCATAGATATAACATCCTGGATAGACATTAAAAGAATTATGCAAAATAGTTTCTTACCGACACACTACATACATTACGTAAAACAATGACCACCAACTTAGACAAGGAAGAAATTCAGTTGAAGAATACTACAAAGAGATACAATCCCTCATGAACTGTGCAAACATCACTGAAGACGAAGAAGACACTATTTCAAGATTTATAGTTAGGTTGAACTTTAACATCGTCTACCTACTTGATCTACCGGCTATGAACACCTTGAAGAAACATTGAAGAAGATGATCACAACCGAAACAGAACTTGAATGAAGATATCACTTCAAAGAAACTTTCCAAGGTACTTCTTCTAATTTACAAGGTACTTATTCAAACTTTAATTCATTGTCTACCCCACTTTCTGTCACGAATAAGAAATCAATGGATGAAAAGCCTAAGATGGCTAATAAAGATATGATCAAGAACCCTAAAGAGTCCCGAATAAAAGAAACCT